TTTTTAGATCGGCATAGTCTTTGATGTTATAACCTATGCTTTGTGGAATGTACATCTATTGGTTAGATCCCTTTTTGTGTTTTAACTCAATGGCTTTAGCCATCTAAGTTTTAGATTTCTCTCAATGTGCATCAAAATCTTTTTTCAAAAAGTATTCAGTGTAGTGTAGTTTCTTTCTCTACTAGAGCTTCTTGCCCTATGTCATCTCCCTCTTGAGAGAGGGTCGTAAAAATCTTTATCTTTTTTATGATTGAGAAAGAGGATGAGCTTCTCTCACCTTGACCATTAAGAAAAGAAGATGAGCCTCATCACCTCAATTGTTTCATTATAACTTTAGCGTTTATTTATTTTTCAGCTATAAATAGGATGTCAGCCAACATCTTTAGTGGCTTTAGAGATAAGGTCAACTTAAGGTTGTACTCTCTATCATTAAATCTACTTGTTATAGTGCTACAGAGACCATCTGTTCTAGGTCTTTCACCTGTAGAGCTTTCACATTGAAACGCATGATGTAGTCTTTCAAAGACTCATTCTTGCCTTGATTGATTGACATCAGGCTTAATGGTGTTTTCTTAGTTATTTTACTGCTTATAAAATGAAAAAAAAATAAGTGGTTAAGTTTTTTAAATGTCATAATCGACCTTGGCTTAAGGCTACTGTACCAGGATCGAGCTACCCTTTTAAGATTGGTAACCAAACCTTTGTACATCAAAGCCTCATTTGTGTTCTGCATCATCAAGTTAGTTTTATAAAGTTTCAAATGATCAAAAGGATCAAATGCACCATTGTAAGTTTCCAAAGCCGGTATTTTAAATCCCTTTGAGGGTATAATTTTATCAGTCTCTTCAAAGAAGGTTGAGGTCTCAAGAAACTTAAGCTTGTCCTAAAAAACAACTACCTTTCCCTTTAGCTCATTTTTCATAGCCTTTATCCAAGCTTTTAAGTCAATTTTTTTATTTTATTTTTAAGTTGTTACGTGCGTTGAATTATGGCTAAGGTAGTGGTGAACAACTGGAATATCATGTTTTTCTTCTCTAGAGGTCTAGGAAGCTTCTATTTCCTTATAGCTTTGTTGTCTTTCTACGGCCTGTCGGTGAGAGGTGACAAGATTGGGCACCTTTGAAGTTTGAGGTGGGGTTATGGTGTGCAATACTTGTTTTAGAGCATGTATATGTTCAACTAAAGCTTGAAATTGTTCCATGGTTGGATGACCTATTGTGGGTAGGTCAGTCTATAGGCTAGCTATTATATGTTTCTATTGTAGTCGGGGTGATTGTCTTTCCTTTCTTGCTAGCTCTCTTCCTGGATGACATGGTTTATAGGTCGGCTTGATGAATGAATAGCCCTTACTTGATGTGTCAAATGTTTTGTGTTGAATTTCGAACTAAAGGCAGGCTTGGAATCATAAGGGAAAGAAAAAAAAGTGAGAAACAAAAGTAAATAGTATTTTTTGCATTTGCATTTTGATGCACAAGTCAGAGATTAGTATGAAAAAAGTCAAAATAAGAGAAAAATAAAAAATTGAGAATAATATGAGAAAGAATAATAGTACTTAGATGTCTATATTTATAGACAGAAAGTAAGGGACACTTAGGGGACAAAAATGATATGACCGAGCTGACATGTCTCTGGACATATCAAGTCAGCTCAAATGTCCAAAATGCTCCTAGCTATCTGCTGTCAGTCTCTAACAAAAGGAAAAGACTCGGTTGCCCTTTTAACCACTAAATGCTCCCAATAAGAAGGAAGAAAAGAAACACATCCTGGGTTAGGGCATAAAGGGTTTGGATATGCTGAATGGGGAAAAGAAAGGAAGGAAATAAGCTTTTGGGTTCTACATAGAAAAGAGGCAAATGAGAGAAGACAAAAGGGGGAAGCTTTAGAGTGAAAGAGAAATGGGGTAGAGAACCTAATTTAGGAAAATTTTTGTGATGTTTGTCTTAACAAATGCCATTAATTTATATTAACATGATGGTGTTTTTCACCATAAATGCCTCTAAATTATTGAAAATATAGTTAAGTGTAAGTTAAATATCATGAAATAAATGCTACAAAACCTATTTTCATATAGTAATTGTGGCATTTATAAGAAAAAACTCCTTTAAACTTTTTTTTTTCTATAGCATTGTTTTCCTTAAAAAAACGCCACAATTTTTAATTATAATGATGTTTGAATTTAAAATGTCATTAACTTTTCAATAATTTGGTATTTTATGATGTTTTAAAGTGAAATGTCACTAATTAAATGTCATAAAAATCTCTTTTTTTTTAGTGATTAAAGCTGATTTGTGAATTTTTTAATTGTAAAACTATTATTTAATTTCAATTTTATATTAAAACTTTTTAATGAATATTGTAAAATATTGTAAATAATAAATAATATATACAAGAATTGCCTAAATAAATGATAATATTTTTTACAAATTTAATTGAATTATCATTAATTTTAAAAACTTCAAATGTTAAGATATATTTTTTTTATAAAATGTAGGGATAATGTCTATATCTATTACTTAGAATGATGGATTAAATTTATCGTCCATCTTTTGAGTATTCACAATTTAAACACTTTAATTTTAATTTATTTTCTAAAATGGTAAAAAATTAGTCTTTGATGATTTTATGCAACAGCATTATGCATTTATCAAATTAACTTAAAATAGCATATGATTTTTTAGTAAAAAAAATTAATTAACTATATTGTTTTAATCTATATAATATAACCAAAAAATTAAAATACCTATATATTTTATAAATATTTATATTTTAATTATGATTTTAGTTTTGATTACGTTAATGTTTTCTATTGGAAATTACCCAAAAGTTAATTTAACAAGATTGTTTTGATCTTATTTGAATTTCTATCTCAATTTAGTTGAAATTGATCAAAAAATATATAATGTAATTGTAATGTTTAATATCTTTAGCATATATTCAATGTTTGTGTAACGGAAAATGTTTTCAGAAGCATTTTGATGAGATTAATGAATCCCATTTTTAATAAGGGTTTTCAGAAGTAAATTCTAGACAATCTAAATGGTTTGCTTGATTTTGATTAACTTTTTAGTCATTGAGCGATGCCATAATAGAACTTGACTTTTAGTTGAGGCTTATTCATTGACACTATAGAAGAGACCGCATTTTCATTTTCAATATTTGAATAAAAGATTGTTTACTTCAAAGTTAAAATAAGAATTGAAATTATCAATTTCTAAAAAGGATCATTTTATTTAGAAACTGATCAATCTCTTTCAAAAAAGGAGATTGATTTATTTTGACGAAGCACTACTTTCTTATATTAAGAACAAAAGATATCGTTAAATAATTTTACATTTTCTTCTACCAAATACAAATATTTTATATCCAATTTAAATGAACTAAACACGAGAATATAATATTATTGAAAATGTACTAGGTAATTTTGATAGAAAGAAATCAGATTCTGGAAAGTAATCTCACTTTGTCTAACCAAATGCTCCAAGTTGTAAATAAAATTTTTTTAAAGTTATAATTAAGTATTACATTTATATAATAAACTGAATAATCATTTATAACATCATAATCAACTAAATAATCAAGTTACAATCAATTATAATCAATTAATAAATTATAATATAATTAAACAATTAAACTCTCACATAATAAAATTTTAACCTAAAATTTTAAGGTTTTAAAATCTCCTTGTCACTAAACCAATGCCTCATTAACTTATAAATAAATTATTAATTTAAGTTGAATGGATTTTTTCTGCGTTTGAAATGATTATATTTAGAAAAAAAAAGAAAAAGAAAGAAAGGCTTGGATCCACTAATTTTTCTCCTCTCTAATTTCCTTCGTATCAAATCAAAAAAGTTTTCCTTTTACTCTGTATCTTTTTTTTTTTTTTCCTTCTATAAAATATAGTGCAAAGCTAAAAAGGTAATTGCCGTTTACTACTTTTTTATTTATTTGAAAAAACTTTTTTGAAGCATATCTATATAACTATATATTAAAGTAGTCTCATTGATATTGCGAAAATGCCTCCCTGATTTTTTTATAAAGGGCTGACATGTGTACTAAATAACTATATTATCTTTTTTATTATAATTATATAAATGCTTATCTTACCATAATTAATTAAATTTAGGATAATGCCCGATGAAAATGTCACTTCTATTATAAGTGACTAAAATTATTATAATGTTCCTCCAATATTAATTATGAAAATGTTTTTTTAACTGTAAATTATCAAAATTATTATAATACACTTTACCATAATCATGTAAATGCTTTTATGATTGTTTCATAGTAAGTTAACATAACCCCTTATTATAATTATGAAAATACTTTTATGATTATTTTATAATAAATTGACATATAATATTTTATTTGAAAATTATTATAATATTTTTATTAAATTATGTATTAAATTTTAACATAATATTAAATTAATCATATATTAAATTATTAAAATACCCGTATGATATTTTACTTGAAAATTGTTATAATATTCATATTAAATTTTAACATAATATAAAATTAACTTATTATTAAATTTCTAATCTCTCATTAAAGTTACCAAAATGCCCCTATGCTTATTTGATGAGAAGTTAACACGTTTTCTAAATAATTATAATACACATTCTACCATAATTAATCAAAATTACTATAAATCTTCTTATTATAATTACGAAAATATCCTATGATTATTTCACAAGAAATTGACATGTGAAATTTTATGTGAAAGTTATTATAATATACATATTAAGTTATGTATTAAATTAATTATAAATATATTTAAAATAATTAAAAAATCATAAATAATAATAATAATAATAATAATTAAAAAAATCAGCCTAACTTAACGGCGGCTATTTCTAATTTTTTGCATAGAAGATTATCCATCAACTAAGAACTAAATTATAGGATGCTTTAATATTAAAAAGTTTCTTTTTCTCAATAAATAGTTACTACTTCTCATTGATGATTAGTTAGTGTTTTTAAGCGTGGCGGCAAACTCAATAAATGTTGTTTGGCCAAAAGGAAAAAAAGAAAATTCCAAATATTGTGCTTCCATTACACCGTTTGGTAATTTCCTGGAGAGAATATGGATTAGGCCCAACTCCAAAGGACAGGGAAAGGGAGGACCCAAAGTCTAAACGAAGTGTCCGCGGCCCAGTATTCAAACACGCGACCTTTCTTTTTGTTGTTATCATTGCTGAAGAAAATCTGGTTTCCTTCACATATATGAATTGATCCGCTTAGAACATCAGATTATATTAAAAAAATTATTGAATTTGGGTGGATTGTTTTGGATCTACAAAAAATTTGATTTGAAATATACGAAACGAATAAGCGCGATGTGTTTGAAGATATTTGTGGTGGTGGTGGTGGGTTTGGTTGCATCAGCTCAGATTTCTTTGGCATCCACGGTGCCTGCTTTTCTGTGGTCTCCGGTGTAAGTTTTTTGTTTCTTTTTCTTTTCGTAATTTTGATTTCATTGGATCAAAATCATAACAATTTAAAATTTCTAGTTCAGGCTTCTTCTTCATCTGAAGAGGTGCAAATTGGGATCTCATTTCTTTGGAATATTTTTGTTGGTGCTTACAGCTTCTTTAGCATTGAATTGAAGAAATCTTTAAATTATCAGATCATGTCTCCAAAGGACCTAGCCAACTCTGTTCTCTTTCAAGGCGGCTGGTCCGACTTACTGGTATTTTGCACTTTCTTTTCCTTAAATATTATAACCATAGTTTAAGTTTGCTAATTACCTTGATTAATTTGCCACTTTCGCTTTTGTTTTTAGTGCTCCAGGAGTAAACATGAACACCTTGTTGATCTGGCAATTGTTTTTGTTGGTAGAGAGGTAATATTCTTGGAATGTATATTATTTCCAAAGCTTCAGATGCAGCCTCTAATAAGCATTCCTTTTCATAAACTATCTGAATACGTAGTTTCTTTATCGCTAAAAGGAAAGATAATAATAGTAATAAGCAGCTTCTTCCTTTTTTTTTTAATTAATTGTTTATTTCTTTTAAACTATACTTGTATTGTGCAAAGTGAATTAATGGTACACAAATAGGTTTGCAACTTTCTTTTGACAAAAATCAAGAATCCAATCGAACGAGCTAAAGTATTTAGCATATTGGATGATGTAATAGAAACATAAATACCACAATTTTGTTGATTTTTCATGTCGGGATCTTTGATATAAATATGGTTTTGATGGTAGTGCTGCTAATTTCTGCTTATAAATGTCTTATTGCAATACTCTCACTCCATACAAGCTTATGTCAATACTTTCAGCCTATACGAGTTTTATTGATTCATTCTTTCTTGAAGGAGTTGAAGGTGCATTTAGTTCACTGTTTTCTTGTGATAAACTGGATTCACTGCTAGCAATCATGTCCATGCAACTTTAATATTGGCTTTATTCCCTGTAGTTGCACTCTTCAGATGTTGCTGGAAACAAACATGTAGAGCCTGTGAACTTGCTTAAGGTAACCAGAATTCACCTGATTGCAAGTTTCTTCTTTTATGTTAGATTTATTGGTTTGGGTTGTTAATTACATTAGATTCTAGTTTCCTGCTTTTTGATTATTAATTCCTACCGTTGAACAGGTCTCTTTTACCAGGTCCAATTTTTCAATGGCATTTCCATATGTTGCTCCCTCTGAGGAGGAAACAATGGAGAATTTGTTGGTTTCAGGTTTTAAGGAAGCTTGTAGGCATGGTCTGGGAGTCAGTAATGTTGCATTTTCAGAATCATGCTCTATAGAGGGTGGAGATTTCCAGAAGCTTGCTAACTTGAGTTCAATCCATGTAAACTAACAAAGAATTTTATTTTAAATGCATTGCTACAAAATGTGGTGGTGTGGGAAGATTTTAGTATCTTCTTGTCTTCATATTATTATTTCCTTTACAATTTTCTGATAAACAATAAACAGGATCATCTAATTTCAAGGATGGAAAAGAAAACAAAGGGGGAGACTGATTTGGTTGTCCTATGCGATGGAGGTTCTCATTCTGCAAAAGAGCTTGACCAACCATACCCTGAGAGTATGCTATATTAGCATGTGCCTTATTTTATTGAAGACATATTACTCTAAAATTCATTTATGTGTTTTTTAATTAAATATGTAGGTGAGATTATGAATGAAGTCTTGAGTTCTTTGGAGCAGTCTGGGGCAAAATATGCTGCTCTTTATGTTTCCGATCCTTTTAAGTCCATCCACTATCCTGGTTACAGAGAGCTTGAAAGGTTTCTTGCTGAAGGTACTGCAGGAAATGCTTCAGCCAATTCCACAGGCTGTGATGAGGTTTGCAAGATAAAATCATCACTCCTAGAGGGAGTTTTAGTTGTAAGTCTCTGTCCTTTTCCTCTACACTTTTCTCTTACCTCTGATTTTGCAACAATGCTTTTTTTGTTGTTGTTTATATACTTTCTCTGTCTTAAATGGAATGTCCAGCTTCCAAAATGGCACAAAGTTATAAGAATGAGGTGTGTGTATATATATATATATTACATAAATTACTATTTGTCTTTCTGCTTTAACCCCATTGTCACATAAGAAAACCTGTTCTTCTTTTCAACTCTATTTCATATATTAGTTTGCCTTTTGGTAATATTTATCTTAGTGGTAATTTGCATGAGAAGATAGAATGTTATTTATAGATATTTAATTTATATATATTTATTAGTAGTTTATTATACATTAAAGCGAAAGCTTTACACACCTGTCTACTCTTTTATATTTATTAGTAGTTTATTATATTATAATAAACAAAGAAAAAACTTGGTTATAGGTCTCGGAAGATTCGAACTTCTATAAAACACTTAATCAATACAAGCCTTTGCCAACCAAGCTAACTCCTGAATTTGATGCTAATGGTTATTGAATACTTATGAGTCATACTATGAAACTTTGGGAGAGAGCAATTGAATGTAAGTTGCCACGTGAGTTCACTATTTTTGAAAACCAATTTGGGTTTATGCTAGAACACTCCACAACAGAGGCGATCCACCTTTTGAGGTTTTTATTTGAGGGTTTTTGGGTGGGAAAGAAAGATTTACATATGGCATTTATTGACTTGGAGAAAGCATACCATAGAGTTTCTCGAGAGGTGCTTTGATGGGCCTTAATGAAGAAAGAGTCCCTTTTAAGTACATCAACATAGTTAAAAATATGTATGCAGGAGTGGTAATGAATGTGAGGATGATTGGGGGGCATGGCAGATAGCTTCTGTATTACCTCAGGATTACATCAAGGCTCAACACTAAATCCTTTCCTTTTTGCATTAGTTATGAACGAGTTCACTGAACGTATTCAAGATAAGGTGCCGTGGTTTATGTTATTTGCCGACGATATAGTCTTAGTTGCAAAAACTTGTTATGCCTTTAATGTGAAATTAGAATTGTGGAGGAGTACATTGGAGTCTCGAGGTTTTAACTTAAGTAGAACTAGAACTAAATATATGGAATGCAAGTTTAGTAATCACAAAGAAGTGGTTACTAGTGTGATTAAGTTGGATGGTGAAGGAGTACCAAAAAGTAGCCGGTTTTGATATTTTGGATCTATTATTCAGAGTGATACTAAGATAGAAGCAGACGTCAAACATAAGATTCATGCAGATGGGTGAGAGGTGGTGAAGTGCGTCGGATGTGTTATGTGATCGCAACATGCCTTTAAAGTTAAAAGTGAAGTTGTATAAAACAATTGTAAGGCCTGCATTACTAGATGGAACTTAGTGTTGGGCTATTAAGAAACAACATGAGAAAAAGATGAATGTAGCGGAGATGAGGATGCTTAGATGAATGTGTGATAAGACTAGAAGAGATAAAATTAGAAATGAAGAGATTTGAGAAAAATTAGAGGTAGTCCAAATGGAAGAGAAGATGAGAGGGGGTCGTTTATGATGGTTTGGACATGTGAAACGTAGGCCTAGCTATTGGCTAGGAGAATTAAGAATCTAGATCTAGGAGAGGTCAAAACCTCTAGAGATAGACCGTGAAAGATATGGATGCCAATAATAAAAAACGATATGATGGTTAAGAAATTAGATGAAAAGGTGGTTGTTGATAGAAATGAGTGGCGCAAGAGGATTCAAATTACAACCTAATTTGATTCTCTTATTTGATTTTTCATACAGTCGACCCTAGAATATGGAATATAAGGTTTAGTGTGTTGTTGTATATATACTTATTCCTTGAACCAAAAATGTAAACAAGTAATACAAAAGTTATTTGAAGCCAAAAGCCTTGCAAATGGTAAAAGACCAACTCAGACACTAAGCACAAGCTTTTTTCAAAATGCACATCCCTCAACCTCATTCTTCACCACTTCCTTCTAAACTCCAGTCTCCACCAATTCCTTCTCTATCCTTTGACCTCTATTCCTCTTTGTAGACTGGTCTCATTTTGGTTCAACAGTTCCATAATCACATGTATTTTTTTTTTTCAATAAACCACATGTTTCTTCTTTTAATTTTGTTTTTGTTTTTTAAATTGGTCACTTATTTGTCGTATTCTTTGATTATTTTCAAATTAACCAGTGTTTGTGGTTTGGCAAAGAACATGTTGAATACTTTTTTTGATTTCTTTTTACTTGAATTTAGCTTTGAAAGTTGAAACATGTTTAGTCTCAGTGATTTTTTTTTTTTTTTTGAATCTAGAGTATAAGTATTCTGTATTTTTCATCCTTTAATTTGTTTTTGTTTTTTTAATCGGTCAGTTATTTGTTGTGTTCTTTGATTATTTTTTATTAACTAGTTTTTGTGGTTTGGGAGAGAAGATGTTGAAAGCTTTCTTTGATTTCTTTTTACTTGAATTTAGCTTTGAAAGTTGAAACATGTTTATTCCCAGTGATTTTTTTTGGATAAAGTATTAAGTATTCTGTATTTTTTATCCACTGTTCTCTATAAATTTTTTTGTCTTAGAAAATCGGGTTTGGGTAGTTAACAGGTATTATGTTTTGGGTCCAGGTACTAAAATTGATATTTCAGTCGGGTATTAATCAGGTTGAGGTATGGTTACCTAAAAAATAGGGGGTATCCTACTGTTGCCATTCCTAGGTGTGCCAAGTTCTAGTCACTGCTGGTGCTGACTTTGTCTACTTCCTTCCCTCTTATGTTTTTTTCTCAAAAAATTTATTAATTTCTTCTTGCCATTAAATATTAATAAATAAAAAAAGTAAATAAGCATGGTTGAGAAAGTTAAATTGGATTTGTGGGCCTCCAAGATAAGATTGGGAATGAGTGCATAACATAAAAGTTGTAGGTCGCGTGCATTGAGGACTAAATGAGAAACATGTTTAAGGTGCTTGGGTAATTAATGAGGTGACCGATAATGACCCTCTAAGATGATGTGATATAGTGGTGGATACTCATGTCAATAGGAAGTAAGGGTGTTTATAATTCGATTTTAATCGAATAATTAACCGAACTGATTTATTTTGGTTAATCGGTCGACCACCGAATTAATTTCGGTCAGTTAACGAAAATGATTTTAGAAAAATTTTGGTTTTCATTTAACCAAATTAACCGAAATTTTTATCGAAATATAACATAATCCAAATATAAAATAAAAAATACATGAAATGGATCACTTAGTTTCATAACTTGTTAGAGTTTTTAACATAATACTTTAGTATTTGAATATTTTATTGAATAATTGTATTTAATTTGTTTAGAATTGAGAAATTAATAGTTTAAAATATAATTTAACTTAAATGTATTTATTATGCAATTAACCGAAAAAATTAGCCGAACTGACCGAATTAAATTTGGTCAATTAATTTTCAAAATTCGTAAATTCAGTTTGGTTAACGAAAATTAAATAATGTAATTTAATTAATTCAATTTTGAATAATTCGATTCAAAATTAACCGAACGACCGAATGAACACCCTTAATAGGAAGTGAGGAAAACCAAAGAGGAGATGGATATAAACAATAAGAAAGAACTCACTTGTACTAAGGTTATGATTCTAAATAGGGCACAATGGTAGAACGTGATACTTATAGCCAACCCTATGTGGTGGGAAACAACTGCGTTTGCTGTTGTTGTTGCTCTATATGGCTTTAAGTAATTGGTAATTTAACTAGGTTGCTGTAATAATTGTGCTAGTTGCTCTATTACCAGTAGTGACCAGTTCCCAATTGGATTTTTTTTCTTTTGAAATAGGGAAGAATTGAACTGCTGAAATTTGAAATTGAAAGAACTAAAACCAAGTGCGGCATAAGTGAAGTGGACCAAAACTGTTTATTGTAGCCTACATGAGTTATTAGGCAACTAAAAATCTTCCTTTGGCCCACATCTCCGGCTTAATGTTCTCTGCTTTTAGTTGCAGTAAGCTATTGTATTGCTTCCTTTCACTACTAATAATTTGTTTATTAAAAAAAAAAAAAAAAAAATCTCCTCCTATCTGGTAATAACGGTAAGAGTGGTGTTGACTGCTGCAGCTGTTTCAAATCCTTTGTTCAATTTAGTTTATTTTTTGTTATTATGAGTGTTATGATATAGTTACATGTAATTGAAAATGCATTCCTAACTTTCTATGTTGGTCTTTTGAGTCCTTGTGGTCTTATTGTTTGTTTTACAGTGTGATATATATGGGCTTCTGATACAGCTGCAACATATGATTTTCAGGGAATTGTGTTGCTTTTAATTTTAATATCAGGCCTTTGCTGTATGATGGGCATTGACACTCCGATAAGATTCGAGGCGCCCCAAGACAATTGATTGGATGTTTGACCTAGCATCTTTATGTTGTATTAAGGCTTCTCTCGTAGGGACCGGTGGTAGGTAATAGTTGCTAAGTAGTTTCAATGGCCAGGAATGTTACCATGTAATATTTATTTAATTTCTTAATTTGTTTTAATAATATTGGTAACAACGGAGAAAGATGGTATTTTTTTGGAAGTTTGTTTTGACTTGCTTACTGTGTGAGGAATTTGGCGAGTGGCTTTCACTTCATAGGCGCTGTTGACAATGTAATTATTGTGATCGTAAAGAGAATAAAATATGTGAAAGAGATGGTCTTAATCATTTGTCTGCGGATTTCTTCGAGGGTACTTATATTTTGGCAATTCAAATTCCATTTATCTCTGTTTAAGCTGATGCGAAGAAGCATATTATTTCCTAGTTGATCAAGTACTTGACTCTTTTTGAATGCATTATTCTATTGTCTTCTGTCGGTGGTTATATTGTCCAATATTGAAGGTCTTCTGGGTAACAATGGTTGATATTCACTAAGTTTAGGAATGGCCTTTAACAATGTTGAAGGTATTCTGAGTAACTGTAATTCCTCCACATAAACCATGTCAAACTCATTTTTTTTTCCCCTTTAGTGAAAGTATCTAAATGGTTGATTGGTGAGCAACGGCCTCGATGATCTAAAAGCTTTTGGATTGGATTGGATTGATTGTGGAACTGTTTCTTCTTATTGCTTATGGAGAGGCATAGGTAATGAAGGAAGTGATTTTGTAATCGCGTGTGCATCTAGCCGTTACTTGAAGAGCTCCGCTTCGCTCTAGTGATTTCCTTTATTACAAGGCCTTCATTTGCCCTGTTTGGCAGCTTTCGCTTATTTTTTGAATTAATTACCACGTTTGCTTCCTTTCTTTTCATCTACCTTTTGATTTCGCTTATTTATAAATTTACGATTATTAAAATATAAATTTTAAAAAATTTAATATTTTATTAACAAATCACACATTTGTCAATAAATATTACGTAAATAAGTGAATAAAAAAAAACTCTAAGTTTATTATATAAAATGTAAAATTGAAAATCAACTCAATTTATTCATAACTTTTTATTATCTTTTTGTTTCTATTACTTTTATTTTTGTAATGCTGCATTAACTCTTCATTTGTTTTGACTCCAAGCTTTGAATCATCATTTGCTATTCACAACTCACAAGTTTATATTTTCAAAGTTATATGTTAAGAAAACAAAATTTTTTATTTTTCTTTAGCTGCAATTTAATTCTTCGTCTCATAACATGTAAGATTTTAAATTCGATTGCTAAATACAAAATATGAAATTGCACTAATTTTTTTTTAGATATAATTAATTATTTAATTGAATTTATTATTTTAAAGATTGATTACGTACCTTTAAAAAGTATAAAATTTAATCTACAAAATATAATTAAGTTCGCAAATATGTTTGCACGTAGATAAGACTATTAGCGTCTCGTAATGCCCATATTAAAAATGAAGCCAATTAATCTTACACTATCTTAAACTCGTCTTAATTAAATGGTTTTTCTATTCTAAATTTTATCATTTTTGTATTACTTAATTTGTTCTTTAAATAACAAAAAATCTTTTCCAACACTTTGGATATACCTTAACAAATTCTCAAACCTCAAAATTATTCTTTTTCAACACTTTCCAACACTTTCCATTGGAATATTTTTATTTACTTTCAAATTTGTACAAAGTTTACATGACAAAAAATTTTTAAACTATTTATTATTTTATTGAAAAAATAAATAATTTTTTATTGAAATATTCGATATTGGGAGAATTTTCACTTCTAAAAATTAATGAAAATTTACATGATATAAATAAAAAATAATTACACAAAAAAGTAAATTTATAAATTACTATTATTAATTTCTCACTAACTTATATGTTTTTAGTTTTTATTATTTTTTATATTATCAAATTATTAAAAACCATGTTCATAATTTAAGAATTTAGATATACATAAGCATGTATTAAACGGATAAGGATCTTCAAAAGCTTAGGAGGGTTGATGCCCCTTTTTTAAAATAAAAATTGATGCCATACACTTAGAATTTCTATAGTAAGTTTAAAATTATTGACTTTATTATAAGATCATTGAATAATAATCGTTAGATATACAAGAATTAATATAAGTCATTGATTATTTTTTAATTGTAAAAATAATTAATTATCTGTTAACATGTTAACTTAATTTAAATTAATTAACATTAAATATTATTTATTAAATAAAATAAAAATAATTTTATAACTATTAAGAATTTTCTTTTTTATTATTTTTTAAAGATTTTTTTCCTCTAACTTTTTCTTTCTTTATTGACTTCTACTTTTTTTATTAGCTTTTTTTTTTAGGTTTTTTGAAATTTCATCTATTATCCTAAATCTAAAAAATAATTATAAATCAATAAATAAGTGTTAACGTAAAAATGTGAGAATAATTATAAAATTGGTATCAGTCGGTATAAAATATATTAGAAGTATCATAATGTAAAAAAGTGAGAATAGTCATAAAATTAGTGTCATTTGATATAAAATGAGTTAGAAGTAACGTAACACCCTAACAAAGAGTTTTGATAATTCTAAACGTAATGAAAGGTAACAACAATCATAAAAATATTATTATTGTAACATAAATAATTAAGTTGGCAATATAAAAAATTATTATTACAAATAAAAAATAATTTTAGATAGAAAAGAGTTAACATAAAATAGTGAAAATAATCATAAAATTAGTATTACTTAACGTAAAATAGTTAGAAGTATTATTACACCTTAAAAAAATTATAATAATCATAAACATAATGAAAAGTAACAATAAACGTAAAAAGAATTTATTGAAATGTAATAAATTGGTAACATAAAAAAATTAGTATTATAAATAATTCTAAATAAAAAAATAAGTGTTAACATAAAAAAGTGAAAATAATTGTAAACTTGGTATCATTTGACGTAAAATATGTTAGAAATATCGTACCTTAAAAAAATTATGATAATTCTAAATATAATAAAAAGTAAAAATATGCGTAAAAGATTTTATAGTGACGTAAATAATTATGTTGATAACATAAAAAAATTATTATTATAAACAAATAATAATTCTAAACAAAAAAACTAGATGTTAACGTATAAAAGTAAGAATAATCATAAAATTAAAATTATTTGGCATAAAGTATGTTAGAATTGTTATAATGTAAAAAGGTAAGAATAATTGTAAAATTGATGTCACTTGGCATAAATTGGATTAGAAGTACTGTAATACCCCTAACAAAGATTAGTGATAATTCTAAACGTAATAAAAAATAAGAACAAGCATAAAAAATATTATTGTAATATAAATATTATTTTTGGCACGTAAAATAATAATTATTAGAAATAAATAATAATTCTAAACAAAAAAATAAGTGTTAATATAAAAATGGTGAGAGTAATCGTAAAATTATTATTATTTGACATAAAATAGTTAGAAATGTTGTAAACCCTTTAAGAAAAAATTATGATAATTTTAAACGTAATGAAAGGTAACAACAAGTGTAAAAATGTATTATTATAACATAAGTAAATAAGTTGGCAATGTAAAAAAATTATTATTACAAATAAAAAATAATTTTAAATAAAAAGTAAGATTTAATATAAAATAGTGAGAATAATTGTAAAATTAATATTATTTAACGTAAAATGATTAGAAGTATCATTACATTTTGACGAAAAATTATAATAATTTTAAACGTAATGAAAATTAATAATAAATGTTAAAAAATATTATTAAAACGTAATAAATTTGCAATGTAAAAAAATTAGTATTATAAATAAAAAATAATTTTAAACAAAAAAAAGTGTTAAGTAAAAATGTGAAAATAATAGTAAAAGTGGTATAATTTGGTGTAAAATATGGTTGAAGTGTTGTGATATTTAAGAAAAAGTTATGATGATTATGAATATAATAAAAAGTAAGAACAAACATAAAAAATTTTATTGTAACGTAAATAATAAATTGACAATATAAAAAATTTATTATTATAAATAAAAAATATTCTAAAGTAAAAAATAAGCGTAAATATAAAAATATGAGAATAATTGTAAAATTGGTATAATTTAATGTAAAATATATTAAAATGTCATGAAGTAAAAAGGTGAAAATAGTTGTAAAATTGGTATCATTTGGCATAAAATGAGTTAAAAATTTTTAACAACTTAAGAAAGAGTTGTGATAATTTCAAACGTAATAAAAGATAAGAACAAGTATGAAAATATTATTGTAATGTAAATAAATAACTTGATAACATAAAAGAATTATTATTATTATAAATACAAATAATTTTAAACCAAAAATAAATTTTATGTAAAATATGAGAATAATTACAAAATTGGTATCATTTCACTTAAAATGGGTTAGAAGTGTTGTAACACCCTAAAAGGGAGTTGCGATAATTTTAAATGTAATAAAAAATAAGAACAACCATAAAAAAGTATTATTGTAATATCAATAATTAAGTTGATAATGTAAAAGAATTATTATTATAAATAAAAATAATTCTGAACAGAAAAAAAGAGTGTTAATGTTAAAAAGTGAGAATAGTTGTAAAATTAGTATAATTTGACGTAAAATAAGTTAGAATTATCGTAACATATTAAGGAAGCATTATGATAATTCTAAACGTTTGAAATGCAAGAACAAATGCATATATATATATATTATTTTAACGTAAATAATTAAGTTGACAACAGAAAAGAATTATTATTATAAATAATAATTCAATAAAAAAATAAGTGTTTATGTAAAAAGGTGAGAATAATAGTAAAATTTATATCATTTGACATAAAAAGTGTGTAAGAAGTGTTGTTATACCTTAAAAAAGTCGTGATAACTCTAAATGTAATAAAAGATAAGAACAAATATAAAAATATATTATTATAACTTAAAATAATTGAATTGCTAACGTAAAAATTATTATTATAAATAAAAAGTTATTCCAAACAAAAAAAAAGTGTAAACATAAAAAGTGAAAATAATCTTAAAATTGATATCATTTGACGTAAAATAGGCTAGAGCTATCATAATACCTTAACAAAAAGTTATGATGATAATTCTAAACAAAATGGAAAGTAAGAACAAGCGTAACAAAAAATTAAAGTAAAGCAAATAATTAACTTGATTAAGTAAAAGAATTGATATTTTTAAATTAAAAGATTTTAAAAAAAAAAATTTAATGTAAGAAGATGAGAATAATTATAAAATTCATATTATTAGATGTAAAATGTGTTTGAAATGTCTTATCCCTGAAAAAAGTTTTAATAATTGTAAATGTAATGATAAGAAAAGCATAAAAATATATTATTAAATGTAATTAATTAATTTGATTTCATAAAATAAATTGATATTCTAAAATTAAAAAATATTTCATTTTTATTTGTTAAATTAATAAATTAACTAAAATTTTATATATATATTTAAAATATTTACTTGTTAACCTATTCTTCATTTTTTTTCTTATTTTTAAAAAAATTATATTATTTTGATAATTTCTCATGATATGTCATGAAATATAATGATATCTAATAACTTAATTTTAAGGTTTATATATTGTGACTTTTAGACTTTAAATTAGTCTGGCTTGTTCCTTCCTTGAATTAGGCCCTGATGGGTGTCTATGTCTTTGCATAATTTTTGTTCCACTAAAAATATGCAAAGAGGGACAATTGTAAACACCCATTTTTTAAACTGTAAGCTTTGGATAAGGCTAATAAGAAAAAAAATAAATAAGTACAAGCATAGTTTTAATCCTGTTAAAACTCTAAGATTAGGGGTTTAAATTTTGAAACTGAG